AATTTTAACCTGTGCGACCTAAAAATATATTTGGGAGCAGTAGTGCGAGTGCAAATAATGGTTGTGGTGCGACCTGTTTTCATTTCTCTACAAAAAGTTCGCAAATTACTGTGTACCTTACAGAGTTTCCACTAGAAAAAAATGGTGCCGGTCAAAGTGACCGGCAGAGGTTTAGTTTAACGGACATTTTGATGATATGCCGGTCAAATATCGCTTCTTAATTAGTCAAGTTGAGGAAAACTGGAGGCAGGCTATGTAACTTAAAAAATGACATAATCGGGCCGTATAGAATGCAACATGTTTATTAGCATACCTTTCAAATAGACGGAAACCATGAAAACATATGTTTTTTTTACTATGGTTTCACATTAGTTTAACAAACCAATCCCCCTTCCCCACATACAATATCTGAATAGTAGTTTTTACTCAAGCGAACTTAATTATATACACTCTCAGCGTCCCATTTAGCTGGTAAATAAATTGGCCACCGTGAAATGACTCCTTGTCAAATTAATTGGAACAAACAAATGACTAGGCCTTTAACACTGTCTCGCGTAATTTTAGGCTACTTTTTACGCAGTTTTGCAGTGCTGAAATGTGCAGCTGCCGACTTAAAATCAAAACGTCGCAGCGTCTCTCCACAACTTGCAATGCGCATAAGCCGCGTAACCTTGTTCTCTGCAAGGCAACTTCGCTGCTTCGTCTTGATCCGATTCTGCAGTGAGAACCCCCTCGAGACAGGGAGGCTATCTTGGCGAGCTTGGTCCACTCTGGATAGATTTCGTTGAAATCGCGCCGTCTGAACTTGGCATAACTTGCATTCGCAGCAGAGCATGTGAGCGGAGTGGAGCGTCTCCACGTCTTTTCCCCGCCTGACTAAAGTTGAATGCATTGTATTCAGCATCCCCAAGCGAGTCTGCAGCGCAGAGAGGGTTTTCTCCGCTGCTGGCCTGCTTTCAAGAAACCACCGCATTTGTCTGAAGCCTCAGACATTGTCCAAACTCGTGTTCTTGAAGGTGAACTCAAAAGAACTGTATTCTAGATAAGGAAAGCAATTCTTTCTTCTTCTTTTTTTTTTTAAGTTTGAGACAATTTAAATTGTCATCCACGTGCTCTCTGCGCAAAAGTTCAGTTAGATATAGCCTATAGGCGTCTGGTGGCCTAATAGTTTCATTTACCAAAATTTATTTAATATAACACATTGATGTTGATGTAGATGATTTTTATTTATATAATTAGGCCCATTGATTCGTTTAATTTTACTTTTTTTTTTTTTGAACAGATAATATAGGCCTAAGCCAATTTAAATTTTAATAGTGCGCGCTGCGCAAAAATCAGTTAGGCATATCAAAATCTGGCCTAAAAATTAATTAGCCTACTTTTAAAAATTTATGTAGGCCTATACATTTTTTTTTTTTTACATTTTTGTTCATATTTTTATTTTAGTTATATTATTAGGCCCATTTATTCGTTTAATTTTACAGCAGTTTGTGTGTACAATGGTTAACCCATTTACATTTTTATCGTGTGCGTTGGGCAAAAGTTCAGTTATCAAAATTCTAGCCTATAGTTAATTTACTATTAAAACTTTTATGTATATTTTTGTTTATGAAATTTGTATTAATATTATTAGGCCCATTTATTCGTTTAGTTTTACAGGACTTTTTGTGTATGCTACATTCCTGTTCTTGCTAGTCCTAATTTGTAATTTGAAATGAAACATTTCTGTTTGGAAAATGTTGTTTGTTGGTCTTTAGTTTTTTGTAAGGTAAGGCTGAGCGTTAGCGTTAGGTAAGGTAACGCAGAGCGTTATTAACCAATTGATCCATATATAAGGCGCTCCGGATTATAAGACGCACTGTCGTTTTTTGAGAAAATTGAAGGCTTTTAAGTGCGCCTTATAGTGTGGAAAATACGAGTACATGCCGTCTTTAAATAAATGCACAAAAATATACATTTTTATTTAGCCTATATTTTAAATTTTAATAATGTCGTGTAAGTTTAAATGTTAGAAAAATAAATAAAGAAAGAAATCTTGCCATACTAAAAGGGGACCGACGTTTCTGTAGAATGACCGTATAATAAATCAACAGATCCTACTTACGTGTATATGTGTCTGCGGATATCTAGGGATTCAGAAGGGCATCGAGGCAGTGAAGTAGATCCATGCAATCCTCGGGGAACTGATCTTGCAAGGCATCTATCAGATGTTGAACATAGCGTTCCCTGGCTTTTTTGAAAGCTTGAATGTAGCGGTCGCTTGAATTGGTCACTTTGACATCCTTGTATGTGCCGTCTTTAATAACATTCAAATGGTAGAGCCTGTTCCTTTATAACATAGCCAAAGGTCGGTGTATTTTTGCTTAATATATTTTAGGCTTATTCTCTAATTCAGATTGTGTTAGGGGGGCTGGATTATTAGGCAATTTTAATCGGACAATTTGACCGGAGAGATTTAATTTTGTCGGACATTTCATTTTTTTCCCGGCCAATGTCCGGTAATTACCGGACAACGGAAACCCTGGTACCTTATGTGCGCTGATACGCGGTGGTCGGACCATCATTTTATCCAACGTTACATAACCAATCAAACTTTATCCTTACGTTCTTAAATTTAAAGCAGATTTTAGATTGGTTAATATCAGCTGTCAATCACACCTATCGGCTGTGTACGGACGTTGGTTTTTGCCGTTATTTTGTATTGAAGTCTATGGAGAGTCTAGTTTGTTTACCCCAAAAGGGGGCGGGGACAAAATTGACAGTTAAGTTCCCGGATGTACCGGTTGTGCGTATAGCAGATGGATACTATTCGCGAGAACACCGCAGTTAAAGTGTCGTCAGCTCAGTACATCTCTTTCGTTATCGATGGAGACACCGACCTGTCTGTCAAGGAGTGTGTGATCGTGTATGTCTGTCCGCTTCCTGCTTGATGGACAGCCCACGAACATCCTCGTCGGACACGTTGAGGTGGAACATGCCAATGCTGATAGTGAGGATGTTTTTCGTTTTTATTTATATTGTTTTATTAATACATAGCTTATTTAGTATTATATAGCAATATATGAGTAATATCATAATAAATACTTTGCTTGTTTCATTAATGGATGAATCAGTGTTTTTTTTTAACAAATCTCTTGAATGAATGATTCAATAACAAATACATTTAAGTCACTTGTCGCCACCTAGTGGAGTAACAATGTGATTGATACAATTGTTATTTGAAGCTCCATGTTACTTTCAAAAGGTGCTCGTCTCTATTTTGATTGCTTCTGTAGACGTCAGTGTTTATATCCAAACCATAATCTTTAATTCTAGTTCCGATTCAAGTTCTTCTGTGATAAGAATATTTGTAACACAGAAATAACAATACTGCGTAGTTGAATATACTCTCTGGGTCAGCAGGAGCACCATAATGTTCCGCTGTGATTTAAATTAGACATGTTTAATAGTCAAAAAGTTGTCATTTAGCAATGAAAATCAGACATTAGATCTTCATTACATCCTAACACAGTAGAAGATCTAATTCAAATCAGCGTTGAGGGTCCTCCTTTGGAGGCGTTCGATGCCTCAGTGAAGAGATGGATGGAGGAGGGACAGAGAGCCTGGAGACCAAATTTCAAATCCTGGCCACAGGATGTGTAAAGCCCCAGTGATTGTTGGTGTTGATTGGTGTTGTTTTTAAATAAAAGAAATTTGTTTATATATAATTTGTAGTTGTGGTGATCTTTAATTTTTGGTGGGTGCTCCTTAATTTTCGCTGGTGCTCCTAACTTTTTGAAGTTGGTAGCACTGCAAAAAAGTTAATTTCGAGCACTGCTATTAATAAGCTTTAATTGCGTCACTGCACTATGATATGAAAGGCTCAATACAGTGCGGCACACAGTGCTTATGCGAGTCCCGAACGGAGAATGATGCGCTTGAAGCCACATGGAGTTACAGTGCACAGCACGTCGATTCCACATTGAAAATTATTACATATTCGAATTTAGAATATTCATAGACCGCCCTAATGCATACTGAACGGATAGCCTACACCTTAGCTATTTGCAGCTCCCTAATACAATGACAAGCAGTTAAGTTTTATAGACTAGGCAGTTGCAAGCACATAACAGTTATAGAGCAACGTGTTTCCATTTTCAAAGTGTTTGGCATTCTCTTGAATAGCAGGTTGCACTCTGCTAGTGGGGGAGGGCGGGGCATGTGAACTGCAGTGTCTACAGAGCTGCCTGTGAACGCCTGTCTATAAATAATGCCGGAAAAAAAAAACTATCGGCGAACGCGGCAGCCGCGTATCGGCCGATTCCGATACACGTAAGAAACGCAAATATCGTCCCGATATATCGGCCGATCACTAATACACACATATATTAAGTAAACACAAACTTTTATTTTGGATGCGATTAATCGCAATTAATCTTTGCACAGCCCCATTTATGATACATTATTCATACATAAAGGAAATTGGTGTCCTTACAGGTTGGATTTTTCCTCATTTTTCTAATTATGACATTAAGATCAATTTCCAAATTATGATTTTTTTTTTATTCCTCTTTTTAGGCAACTTTAGCATGGGTGTCCTAACTTATTCACATCACTGTATGTAAAATGTACCTATTACTTGAAATGGCCGTCTGTCTTGAGAAATCACATTTTGTCCTTGTAAACAACAGACTCAGAGGAGCAACTCATCCTTTGTTTTAGCTGGAGCCGGTTGTGTAACCGCTTAGACTAGTTTTAAAAGTTAGTCTTCAAGACTTTTTAAAGTCAGTTACATAAAAATATTTCTAATTTGAATGAGTAAAGTAAGACTGATTACAATGACTAATTGGTAGTTGGTCAAATTAGTTAGACACAGTCTTCACTGGTCCAGTTTTAGTTCTCGGACTCCATCAGTGACCTTTTTTGTGTGTTGCATTTCTTTGGATGGCCTTTAGATGTCTCTAGAGCTCAATGTTTTCTTTTCGTGAGCCTTTTGAATTCTATTAATGATATGTTTTCAGATGCAAAGAGAGTAACGAACATGTAGACGAAGATCTTTTTCCTGCTCAGAATGAAGTATCCAATTCCAAACTTCATCATCTGAATAAAAGAACCGTAAGAATAATATAAGAACATGCATATATTTTTACTTTTGAATGGTTGCTCTAAATAAGAATGAAATAACCCCACACTTGTGTTTTTGTGTTTGATTTGTTTTTGCAGCACCGTTGCATGCAGCCTAGAGATTTTCCTATAAAGACCCCTGAGAATGACAGGCGACTGAAAAAAAGAATTGACAAGATGATGGAAGACATGATCTCCTCATCCCCTGTTGGTGAGGAAAGCATAAGTTTGTTTCGTTAATTTCATGTTTATTTCATTCAACAAATTTGTGTGGGTTTTTTATACTTTTTTATTTTTTTATATATATAGTTTCAGACACTTCACCATTCGTTATTGATGAGGAAAGTGGAATAGTGTACAGTCCCTTTTTAAAACGCTCTGACAGCATGGCTCAGCGACTGAGAGAAATGAGAGCGCAACGTGAACATCTCTCACCCACTGGTATTTCCTCAAATCCCTTTGAGAACTATTTTAATAACTAATCATTTTGTGATGTGGGTGTTACAGATATATGAATCTTTGAGTTGACAGTGAATTGATTTAATTCTTTATTCGTGGGTTTCATTTTAGGGTTTTTCACATTTGAAATATTTAACCCTGTGTCATTCTAAACCACAACAGAATACTGGGCTATCTTGTTTTGTGTCGCATTGCTTATAATTTATGTTGGGTTAGCAGTTAATCCTGGGTCATAATACATACCTGCTAGGGGTGTAACGATACATGTACTCGTATTGAACCGTTCGGAACGAGGTTTTCGCCACTGAAGTAATAACGTCGCTGCGAGATCTAGTGAGAAACATTCTCAATTCTCTGTTATTAACAGATCAAACAGCGCTGATGTGGAAAGCAGGAAGAAACATTGTGCCATGAATGAACTATCCAGTGTCCACAGATCAGCAACATTCACCATGGGTTTTCTGTAGTAGCACCACTTTACTGTAACCATAGAGGTTTGGCAGGAATAGTAGCCTATAATGCTTTCGAGTAACATTACGTCGGTTTTATTTTGACTTTATGAATACAATTGCTGCCCTCAAATGTTATTCTGAACTAAAATAAACTTTTGTTGGGGGTTGAACTGTACTTCACAATAATTATAAGGTTGTGTGACAGATTGCTGTAGCACCTCAGTTCAAGCAAACGACAGCGCCAAGCGCACATGAACCGATCAACTTAACAGCACGAAAAGAATTGTGAATGAACTCAGGGCCCGACATGAACGCTTGTCCGGGACAAGTGAATGAAAAATAACTAGGGATGCATCTTATTTTTGATTTTATTGCATTTAATGTGAATAGTGTTTGATAAGGGATGGTATATTTCTATGTATATATAGGGATTGTATATGTGACCCGCTCTGGCAAAATTAGTCGAAGTCGCAACGTTCCATTTTAAGATATGGGCCGATTAGGTGGAAAAACAATGAAATAACAAAAAAAATTTTTTTTTTGCTAATTTCAAAGAACAGACATTCAGAAATAATCTCCCAAAGTTTCGTAGTCCAAATAATTGAGTAAAGGTATTTAAATGACGATTCAAGTTTTCAAAGCTTTAAATTCGCTGAAATAAACATTGCTCTTCTCAACTCTCCTCGTCACCTCTGAGCATTTCCCGAGAGCCTATCCGAAACGTTGAACTCAAAGTGTTGAACTCACTGGAGGCTTCTAACCTAAGCTTTGTGAGTATATTTATCTGCAAGAAGAATACATGCAAGGCCGTAACGATCACGGCACTCAGGTCCACGAACCTGTGTCGCGGTTTGAGAAGACAGAATCACGACACGTCCCTTCAAATCCCGGAGTTATCCTTCACGTCCAGACCCAATGCGTTATAAACGTTATTAACGTTATAAAATATGTAGACCTACACCACAAAACTAGTTAAATTATTACTAAGTTGTTTAAAATTGGGCAATTTCAGCATTATGGAGGAGATCCATAATTCCCAGATAATTAAATCTTTTAATAAATAGGCCTATGTGAACTACACTGCACAAACCAAAAGTAATACCCACCGGATGAAGAAGGGTTGACTCTCCCCAGAACATAAAATTTTCCGTGTTCGCATTTATGAGGAAAAAACAATGATACGGATGTGACCGTCCTCTGGATGCAGCTAGCACTAAAACTTTCACAGAGCCTAAACAGAAAGCAAGCACAAAGCCTTTCTTTAAAGTGAATTTCGTTTGGAAATAATTTTATCTTAATTTAAATCAATCAACCAATTACCAGGATTTAATAATAAGAAATAAATTGCAGACCAAGGATAGGCTAGGTGGGCCACAAGTGGGAGATTTTGTATGGGTTGCCAAGTCGAGCAGTATTTTTCAGTGTGCTATCCACAAGTTTCCTACGCCCCATGAGGCCTTGCGTCAAAAGTGGGCGCGACTTCCGGTTGGAAGTAAACAAAGCGCGATTTGACATGCTTAACACTTGTTCATTCAACAGTTGACAGTCATTCAAGTTATAGCGATCCAAACTAGCTAACGATGTGGGAACACAACCTCAACGAAATTCAAAAGGGTGAAATAACAGTACCTTTACCCTCCGCAGTAGTTGATTGGGAGTATTATAATAACATTATTAATTAAAGCTGCAAGCAGCGATGGGCGGGCCCTCGCACCTGTAGCGCGTCGGGGTGTGAGGCGGCCGCGTTGCATATTTTGCAGCTCAGCCGGTGCGGCTGTGAATTTGCTACGCTGCTTCATTAAAGGTCACTTCCTATTGCCAGCAGGTGGCGCTATGACTGTGGGTGAATGTCGGCATGTAGATTTGTTCAGGGCGGGACTCTTGTCAAATGTGTTAAATTTTGTGCAGATCTGGGCATTTACAGCCAAGTTACTACAACTTCCTGTTTCATGGCGAATCTTCGACGCCAGGGCCACGCCCATCGACGAAAATGCGCAGATAGCACAACTTTACATCGTCAATGCCTTTAGAAGGCACAGCAGAAATGTGAAGTTGGTCCGACTAAATCCCTACTTGGAGTTCGTTAAAGTACGTAATGAGTAAATCATCCAAAATTCGCAGTAAAATTAGAAATGGCCGACGTCCTGTTGAGTTTAGGGCATCGCTCCAAGAGACTTTTCTGTGCGTCTGGACATGGTAGATGTACGACAGAAATTTCGTACATGTCGGTCAAACATGCGGCGGGGGATGCTTCGTTAAAGGTCACTTCCTGCTGTCACTAGGTGGCGCTATGACTGTTGGTGAATGTAGACATGTGGATTTGTTCAGGGCGGGACTCTTGTCAAATGTGTAAAATCTTGTGCAGATCTGGGCATTTACAGCCAAGTTACTACAACTTCCTTTTTCATGGCGAATCATCGACGCCACGGACACGCCCATCGACGAAAATGCGCAGATAGCACAACTTTACATCGTCAATGCCTTTAGAAGGTACAGCAGAAATTTTAAGTTGATCCGACTAAATCCCTAGGAGGAGTTCGTTAAAGTACGGAGTGTGTAAATCGTCCCAAATCGGTCGCCAAATTCAAAATGGCGGACTTCCTGTCGAGTTTAGGGTATAGGTTCTTGAGGCTTTTTTGTGCGTCTGGTCATGGTAGAAGTACCACAGAAATTTCGTACATGTCGGTCCAACAAGCGGCGGGGGCTGCTTCGTTAAAGGACACTTCCTGTTGCCAGCAGGTGGCGCTATGACTGTGGGTGAATGTCGGCATGTAGATTTGTTCAGGGCGGGACTCTTGTCAAATGTGTAAAATTTCAAGCAGATCTGGGCATTTACAGCCAAGTTACTACAACTTCCTGTTTCATGGCGAATCTTCGACGCCACGGACACGCCCATCGACGAAAATGCGCAGATAGCACAACTTTACATCGTCAATGCCTTTAGAAGGCACAGCAGAAATTTTAAGTCGATCCGACTAAATCCCTAGGAGGAGTTCGTTAAAGTACGGAGTCTGTAAATCGTCCAAAAATGGCCGCCAAATTCAAAATGGCGGACCTTCTGTCGAGTTTAGGGTATGGGTTCTTGAGGCTTTTTTGTGCGTCTTGATATGATACACGTCCCCACCAAATTTCGTGCATGTAGGTTGAACGTGGACGAGGGGCTAATTTTTTCCAATTTTCTAGGTGGCGCTAGCGAGCCATTTTGCCCCGCCCATCCGCGAAACCCACAAAATACGAAATTTTTCACCAGTCCTGACATGCGTGCCAAATTTGGTGAGTTTTTGAGCATGTTGCGGCCCCGAAAATGGCACTTACTTTGCAGAAAAAAGAAAAAAAAAAAAAAAAAAAAAAAAAAATAACCCTAACAGTTTCAATAGGGTCCTCGCACTGTTAGTGCTCGGGCCCTAATAATCAATACTCATCAAGGCATACTCTCTAGATCAGGGCTATTCAATTGGCGGCCCGTGGGCCAAATGCGGCCCGCCAATCATCTCCATACGGCCGAGGGCACCCCAACCTCCTACCTCCTATTTTCTGGTAGTGTGGCTTAATTTGGTTAGATACGCGCATGGCCGCAGTGGCGCCTGCAGCTGGACGACTATACGCACTGTGTGTGTACCATGAGCGCTCCAACTGACCTGAGAGAAGCGTTTTCAGTCCGAATATTTCAGCAGTTCTTACGTGTGTCCCGTGTTTCTGTCGACTGAACCAGCGATATTAATCATTCGTTGGTTTGATTTAATTTATTTCCTTTCCATGAACTGGCCAAACGCGCGTGCATAACGGTCTGAAACGATTCAGATTTGTTCACCTGAAGCGGTTTCTTGGTCGGTAACAACAAATAGAGAACAAAATAGCGCTGGTTTCAGTTGTTTCACTAGTTTACTTTGAACTAGGCAGCACGGCCCAGTGGATAACGGAATGCAAAGCTTAAAGGAGTTGCGTTTACTCCCGGTCCCTTATTAAACAGCGTTGGGACATCTAGTGAGAAATGTTTCAATCAGACACACCTCTCTCTTACAAACCACAAATCACTCAATAGCCCCTTTCACACAGCGAGTTGATCCCAGGAAATTGCCGGCAAATTGCCAGAACGCCTTCTGTGTTAACGCAAACACGACCTGGGATTGCTTCTGGGATTGATCCCGGGTTGGGGACCTAGTAACATTGCCGTAATCAGTCCCGGAACGCGCGCTGTGTGAACAAAAGCCAGGACCAATGCCGTAAAGGGTGTGTCTTTAGTGATGACGCTCGTGCCATCGCGCGACTCTGTTGCTCTTAGAAGAAAGTTTGTGTTCGTCATCAACAAAGAAAGGACGAACAAATACCTGCAAACTAGGGCTGCACGTTTTCAAGTTTTTCATTAACCGTTAACCGAGGCCCTTTCGGTTAATACTCGGTTAACCTATAGTGTGGGCGCCGCAACCTCGAGATACAGAGTTAATTTTTAACACCTTTAATAACTGGTTGGACCCCATTTGAAACGAAATGAATTTATAGAAATAAAACGCAGTGGTAAGTTCAGAGCAG